TGTTTTTTCTATATATAAAAAATCATGTGATATGACGTAATTTTGACCATTTCGACTTTTCATTTCGACTTTGACCTTCAAAGTTGAAACATTTCGACTTTTGGGTTTTCATTTCGACTTCATGTATAGCCTAGATGCTCATCAGAATATTTAAATTTTCTTCGAGATTGTTAAATTGGGACTTGATGAATGCTTTGAAAATATTATCATTATTGATATGCATAGAGCTACCTTCTTTTGCACCCTTATATAAAGTACTATTAGGCGTAAGACAAATAGTATTATTGAACAAAATTTCTTTATTCTCTTTATTCATGTTTAGTGGAATATTATCTGACCAGAAATCAGATTGGAGGTTTCATTTATTTGATAAATTTGGAGGTAGTTTATTTTAGAAGTTATTATTGTTATTATTTTATGAGGTAGAGTGGGTTGTTGATTGGTATTAGTATAGGATAGAAGTTTAGTAACATGAGCAAAAGTTATATCAAGGTTTATTATGTCTTTCATTTTTTAGGCAGAGTCTTATAGTTGAAATATTGAGCCAGTTGAAACTGTTGATAAAGATTTTCCATATTACGGTCAGATGAAGATTTTCTTTATTGTGAATAATTATTAGCTTTGTGATTTGAAGATAAGCAAATTGCATAAAGTTTAGCTTTTGAATTAGTCTATGTTATGTATTTACTATCAATAGTAAAATTATCATTAGAAATTACCACTTCAAAATCATCTGCTGAGGCAAAATAAAAATGCATGTTGTAGATTATGATAGTATGATTGAGACTTAGAAATAACCCAAGCGGTGGTATCGATCATTTTTCAATTTCAGCGAGTTGTTTACTAGTCATAAATCTATGAAGACTGGTGAGTTTTGCTGAGAATTTAGAGCAGGCAAGAATATCTGCAGAAGATAGGTCACACATGTGAACTCTAACCATGTTGTTGAGTATGAAGAGACTATAACAATCTTTTAATCCTTTAAAGTTTGCATCTTCTATGAAGGTAATAGTGGCTTATTACCACATATTCTTTGTTTTCATATTAAAATAAATGATCTTACCAAATTTGGCAAATGTAGTTTTGATTCTGTGCTCAGTAGAATCCAGTAGAATTTCAGTTATCTTAATCGACTTTGCAGAAATGAAAGGTTGTGCTTGTATTATATTAAGGGTATAAATGTGTAGTTTTCTACATTTGATAATAGAACTGAGCAAGTATGATCATGTTTTTTTTGGTTGCAAAAGAAAATTTTGATGATGTGCTGAGATTGGTCTGTTGGATGTTTGGTCAAGTTCGCTCCTGTGAACGAATCATATCTGGCAAAGAGCAAGTTGACAACAAACAAAACTTTTTGCGATGATGAAGTTCCAAAATTCTTCGAGAGGAAAAAATCTATGAAAATAAGGTTTCAGTCAGTCAAACGCTTGTACTGAAGTTGTATCTTTATCCAAAAAGTTCTCTGATGCGTCAAAACTTGCATAAACATCAAGAGGAGTTGTAGTTTTATCTGGAGTCATTTTCAAAGTATCTTTTTCTTTGCTTTTTTTGAAGGCAAAGGGTCGACTTCTATCATTACAACTGGTTTTGTAGTCTCAGAAGTGTTTTGGATTAGTAGAATATTCACATTTTGTGTCGTGTTTTGTTTTTGTTAGTTTTTAAAGGTGAAGACAAACGTCCTCTTTGTTTGTTTTTCTGCTCTTTATTATTTCAGGTCATTTTTTAAGGTAAAAAGGAGAGAGAGTTTTTTTTAGTTCAAGATTGGAATGAGATATTATGACTAGAATCTATTAAAACTATATGTCAGCCTCAATTCTAGGTCTCCACTAGCTCATATATCTATTGGCAACCTATACTGGTAAAACTGGCTCAGATGTTACTATATATTAGCAGAATTAAACCCTTATAAAGGACTACTCATTCGTGAATTACATATTACTATAGGGATTCATTATACCATATACCTTACTAAAGTATACTTTATCTGACTAATGTCATAAGATTCATGGAATTATTACCACAAGATTTGCCTAAATGGTGAATTAGCGGGGTGATGATCAGGTTATATCAATAAACATCTTAGAAATTGAACCTAATCTCAGACCTAATGATATGCTCGATTAGACAATGCTGCAGCGTGCAATGCAGTTTATTATCACTGTTGATCTAATTTACTAATTTCTAGTCAATCACTTCCTTAATTTATATATAATCTTATAATCATATACAGAAATAAAGGCCCCTGCTGGGTGAGATATAAGACTGTATCTATTATAGACTAATCAGCAAAGGCTAAGTTTCTGTCGATCTCTAACTTCATTTGCATCTACATATTCTAACGTCATGTAGTATTTAGGCATGATTTATGTTGATCAATGATACAATCAATCAGATTTATATGCATGTTAGTACATATGCCTATCGTATTCAGCACATATGAAATTCTTATAAAAATCATCTAGTTATATGTATCGGCTGATACCTGAACTAATAGTCTATCATTGAGTAATGAAACTTTAGTTTAATAGGAGACTCGCAGTTTAACCACTGAGTCAAGGACGCCATGTCTTATCAAGAAATTTTTTCTGCTAATCAAGTTTATGTTGCATTAAACTAATACTTTGATTAATTAAAAGTGCATATTACTTTATTATATAGTAGGTTTACTAGAAAATTAGAACTTTGAGTATTTTTTATTATTTATTGTATTTTAATTTAATATTATCAAAAAATTAAAATGCAATAAAAATAAAATTTTAATAAAAAATTATTAGACCTATTTTTCTAGTAAATCTTCTGTATTCTTCTGCTTTTATTACAGAAAAATCAATACTTAAAGAATATGAATGATTAGAACAAAATCAAATACTTCTTTACCTTTGTGAATGTAGTAAATGTTTAATAATTACTTTTTTTTAAAAAAAATAATTAACCTAATAAAATTCTTACTGAAAATTCATATTTCAAAATTTATTGAATTAATATAAATATTTAATCCAATGCATATTGCAACTTCTAGTTATTTATTATAAATTTAATAATATTGTTATCTAATGCTTTATTTAACATTACAATCATGTATAATTAGGTTTACTGTACATGGAAATAATGCTGATTTTGAAACATTTAGTTTCGAATAATACAATTATGATTCAATTGAAATGGGTGTTACTATCGCCAATAGCTAACACACTGATTTTTAAGTTAGATTAAAAATATACATTTTAAAGATGTAAAACTACTATATAATTGTTATCTAATTTGGGTGATTACAAATATATCGGTCGAAACAATCGTTCATATATAAAGCAACTATCCACGGAAAAACATTTATAGTCTCCCCGTCCCATAAAGATTTCTGAATAGTGATGTCACCCGCGATTTTGAAATATTAAAATGAAGTCCTTTCGAAAAGAAAACAAATCATGTGATTATACAATTTTGTTCTGACGTCATTTAACAAGTCTCCTGATTACTTAAATCACTTATAGACGTTAAATAGAAACGCGCGTAGTTTATTATATTAAGTATCAAATGATGATGTAAAATGATGTAAAAATATAGTCATTTAATAATGTAATTTATTTGATACTAGTTTTCGGCTTCGGCGGCGTAATATATAATACATAACTATTGATATTAATAATCTTTTTTATTTTTTTTATTTTTTTACATATATACATAATATGAATTTATTATAAATTTCATTTTTTTTTAAAAAAAAAAAAATTCCAACTTTCGTTTTTTCTAATATATAATATATATATTATATAACAACGTCAAAAAGTAAATAAAACGTCAGAAAACTAGACCGTCAGATAAAAACTAAATATAGCAATCATCACAAATGACAAGTCAACAACAACGTCTAGATAACAATACCATTAATTCAATTACATTCTTTAATCCTCCTTATAATATTCAGCAAACGACAGTTATGGGTCTACATCAACGACAACAACAACAACAACAACAAGCGAATAGTGGGGAAGATGGCCACATGATCACTTCTCATACTTCTCATAATATTCACCATGCAATTCAAGCACATTCTTCTTCTTCTTCTTTGTCTTCGACTATATATCAACAACAACACTCGTCTTCACAATTCCAACATCCTTATTCAACAACACCATCACGAAATTCTCAATTTACAACAATTACTTATACGATTCCATCATTTCCACCTGCTTCAACTAATTTAAAATACAATATTACATCTCAATCATGTGTAACTTCCCCTAATAACACTCTCATTACAATGAGCGACGAGAAAAGAGCTCAAAGGAAAGAGAGAAATCGTATTGCAGCTAAAGAATGCAGAGAACGCCGAAAGGCCTACATATTGAATTTGGAAAATAAAGCAATTATTCTAGAAGATGAAAATTTGAAATATAGGCAAAGAATTCAAGAATCAAAGACTAAACTAGAATGGATCGAATCTAAGAGTCAAGAAAATATTCAATTAAAAAATTTAGTTGAGAAATTAAAAGAAGAAATAATGAAATTAGAAAGAAGTGAATTGAATCGCGAAAGATTTGATCAAGAAGATGACGATGTAGGTGTTTTCACCATCAATGATAGTATTAAAGAGGATCAAGAGGATCGTTAATTCTACTAACACGTAAAATCGGTGGTAAATTGTTGTTAATATTACATATAGATGGTTATAAATTATATATATATATTAATTTCGCATAATCTAATTAATATCTTTTAATTTTTCGGCGGAATTTTATGAACGAGGTCAGTAGAATTTGCAAATAATTTTTTTATTTCTTGCAATTGCATATTATTATAATCAGTATTTTCTCCGCAGATATAAATTAAATTTTGTACAACATATGTATTGTTATTGCTAATAAATGTTCGCGCAGTATTCTTGAGAAATCATGGCGCAGTTATCCGACACGTCACGTTTTCTACAATTTAAGATCACACAAATAATGGCACGTTAAAGAAAAGATTTGTCTTAAAGGTACCACAAAATCAAATATTTTCATGTGATAAATTATGTTATAAAGATTTACAATTGAGAGAAAACTAGGGGTGTTTGTTTCACCGCCATTCACATCACATGATTTCCTCATAATTGTTTTGTTACTCAAATCTTTGTTCGGATATATACAATAATAATTCCGAATTTTCGTAACCTTTTTTTTCTTTGTTCTTTTTTTCGGATAATTATTCCTTCCCTCCCCTTTTTTTTTCTCTTTCAAACGATAATATTCCTTTAGAAATCACCTTATATTAATATCGAAAATGTCAGAAGAACATTTACCAAATATTCCAATATTTTTATCAGAAGCACAAAACTTGGAGGAAAAGGCATTATCAACAAAGTTTCGTCAAATTAATGAAGCAGAGATGGAAAGAATTCGTCTTTGTAATGATACAACTAGCTCATTTAGTACAGTAACAGCGAATAGTAAAACTTCAATGAAATTTAATAGATATTCGGATATTATACCATTTGATCGTAATCGCGTTAAATTGCATACTAAGAGAAATGAGAATAAAACGGATTACATTAACGCAAGTTACATTGAAGCACCACAAAAAATACGTAAATATATAGCAACACAAGGTCCATTGGAAAAAACTATTGAGGATTTTTGGTGCATGATTTGGGAACAACGTAGTCATGTTATCGTGATGTTATCTAAAGAACATGAAAAGGGTAAAATTAAATGTTCCAAATATTGGCCTGAAACAAATAGTATGCCATTTTTCTACCCAGAATCGGGGTTGAAAGTTGAAATAGAGAGTGAGGAATTAGAACCGAATTTTTCTAGTTTAATTCGCACATTTCGCTTAGAGTTGAACTCACAAGGGGGTGGTGAAATGATAAATTCTCAAGGTGATGGTAGTTCCCCACCTCAATCAGGAGATAACATTGAAGTTAGAAAGGTGACACAGTTATATTTTGTTGGATGGCCCGATCACGGAGTACCAGATTCACCCGATATCATATTAAATTTAATTAAGAAAACAAATCAATTTCAACAACAATATCAACAGGAATCTGGGAACGACGTAGAGATTGGACCTGCCGTGATTCATTGTAGTGCAGGATGTGGTAGAACCGGCACATTTTGTACTATTGACGCTTGTTTGGCCATGTTACCACAATTTCCAAGTGACGATAGTACAGATTTAATTGAGTACCTTGTGAATTTTTTCAGGGAACAACGTAGAACCATGGTTCAAACCCTTGGACAGTTTCAATATTGTTATTTAGCCGTCCTCAGTAAACTTGTCATGAATAAATAGAAGGAAGGGAGGAGTGGAGATTGAGGGATTAATTTTATTTTTTATCTTTGGTTAATTTATTTTTACTTATATCGTATTTTTAATTAGTTATTTATTTGCTGCGGTCAAAAGTTGTAAAATTCACGTGAATTATGCGCAGCTTAACATCAAATTACAAAATTATATTAAGAAACTTTAAATTACCGTTAAAAAGCATTATTATATTAAAATATATACTCCCTCAAAATAAATACAAGGATTGCAACGAGCAAACCTACTCTACTATTATGATTAGTTGAAGAAAAGTCATATTATTTTGTTGACGTTGGTAACGATGACGTAGTAGGTAATGATGACATCATTTGAATGCGAAGGTTCAAATATTATTGACCATTTATATTCTTCATTATTGCTGATATCAAGCAATAAAAGATCACTTTCTTTCTTTTGTTCGTACCCAAATCCTATCAAAATAGGTGATAAAATCAAATTTAAAGATCTATTAAATCCAATAGAAAGAGAAGATAAAACAAAAAAATTTTTCATATTTTACCAAAAGATACGACCATAAAATTTCCAATTACATTTGATTTATGATTATATCGATTTGCTGGAATGTCACCAGAAACGTTTGGGACATACCATTCGAAATTTATGGTATCTAATACATAAAATGAGTCTGTAGACACAACATTAAAACCTCCAAATATTATTATCCTTTTTCCATCCAATCCTATTATTTGAAAAAAATAAAAAAAAAAAGCATGAATAAATGAACATTTTTTTTTTTCTCCTAACTGAATTATTATCACATACCGAGAACGGTAGAAAATAAATATCTTTTGGAAGGGGATGACCCTGAAGTTTTCTGTCAATCGTAAAAGGAATGATTAAATTTTTATGTTTCAGCTATCGAAACAACGTTCGCTCATCAAGACCTACTTTTGTATTCCAGAAGTTATTAACAATATCATACAAGTGTATCTCATTTAATTCAATTATCTCTTTGCCATTATGCCCACCAAAGTATATGATGTTTTGATTTGGTAACAAGTTTGCACCATAATAAAATCTTGGGGTAGGTGCATTTATCATACTTCCGGATTTCCAGGTTAAATTTATCGTGTCTAAAATCATCATATCATTTAAAGTACCAAGTTCACTTGAAGTCCCGCCAAACAAATACATATTTCCGTTATAATCGACAATTCCTATTAAACTCCTTTTCTTAATAGCGTAATCACCTTTTATGTTTGGAATACTCCATAATTTTTTTGAGAGTCGTATGTGTAAATCAAGACTGTTTCATTTGTAAGTGATGAAAACCCTCCGTACAGGTATAATGTATCATTATTTATACCACCTTTAGTGGATGCTCTATTATAGTATTAAACGTTTCAGAAAAGTCAAGATAAAAAAATTCTTTCCCAACGATTTCATTTATTGTGGTCGCATTTGTAGTAGATATGCTGTCTCCATCCAAAACATATAATTTGTTATTTATAAATGTGGAAGTATGATAAATTCGTTCTTTTGGATAAAATGATTCAATTTGTGAATTTGTCACCAATTAAAAATGGCAATAAGGACCACGCTATAAAAATTATCAAGTTCATTAACATTTTCATTCCCCTTTTTTTCAAAGAAGAAAAATCAAGTCGACTGTGAATTTATTTGTATCAATAATTGGTATCACGAGCTGTACATTTTTTTTTTCGATTCACTTCTTTTTTGTTGTTTTTTATATGCAGGGTCAAAAATAATGTGTATGCCAAAAGCATAATGGACATTCGTTATATCACGAGGTGATAAAATGTCGATCTTTTTTATATTGTGTAACATTCGATGTCAATCGATTTAAAGTAATAAAAAAAAGATGCGATATTTT